ACCCTGTCCTACAGAGTCGCTATGAGTCCAAGTCGATTGATGGCAGATGAGTTTGAGGGTTTTGCTCCTAAATTAGCAGTCTTAACTAAGTAGATCATTTTACACTCCTGGTCCTGTTTTCGGAACTGTAGAAGGAGAGAGAGTACTCTACCTAAGCCATTCGCCCCGCCCCCTAGCTATAAGAATCAAACGAGATGATTAAAGAGGACTTGGGAGCCGCAGGGCATTGTGGGATACAGAGGGGCGGAAGAGTTCAGTGGAGCATTCTGGGATACTGAGAATATGTCAGCCTCTCCCGGGCCCCAGCTTCGATTGCACGGCCGCCACGTTTCAATGCTGCCTGACGTAACTGTAATCACACCTTTTGCGTCTTGGCGTCTCAGAGGCTAATGCTCACACCTCGCAAAGAGCAATAACGACTGTCTAGGTTACCTTAGGAGCTCTGGTAGCATAGTGCCTAAGGCACTTGACTGCTCACCAGAAGGCTGGCGGTTCAAATCCACCAGCCACTCCTCGGAAGGAAGGTTGGGCAATCCTACTTCCGTAGTGATACTGCCTCGGAAACCCAAGGAGGGGTCGCTATGAGTCGGGACGACTGGACGGCAAACAACAACAACAACAACAACAGGTTACCTTAGCTTTACGGCTCGTGCGTCCTTCCGCCGAACTCGGAAGAAGCTGGTGAACGTTTTACGACAGCGCCTGTCGTGTTTACGGCGCCGGCGACTGCGTGCGCATCTTCCTTCTTTTCCCGGTTCCTCCGAGTGCAGCTGGTGGCTTCGATTTCTTACCGGGACCATCTCCTGCCATCGGGGACGGCCGAGGCCGTTGCAGGTGAGCTGTGTGTTGCGTGGGATCCTGAGGCTCTCCAGAGCCGGTTCGGGCTGGATCTGGGCTTCATGGGCCTCCCGGAAGAGACCTCGTTTACGTCCTCTCCTGTTGCCGCTGTTCTTCAGCTGGGCAGAGCACAAGTCTACTTTTGGGGCCTCCGAGTTCGGCACACTACGGGGTGCGGGGTCCAGACAGTGGGTGAAGTCTCTGACTTTAAGCTCCGCTTAGTGCGCACGGTTTGGGTATATTTGGTTGCTACTTAACGTAGTGGGGTCTCAGGTTCTCCTGAGTTTTACGAGTCGGGCATCGGGAGGCGTCAAGCTAAGCGATATTCGGCCCCTGCCCTGAGGAATGCACAGCTCAGAGGTTCGTTTTCTTTGAAATGAGAAGTTAGGATGAACGAGAATTGTTCTCTGACCTGAAGACCCTCTTCCCCTGGGAGTTGCCCAGTACGATCTGTGGTAGCCTCCGTCATCTATCTACACAGTGCTGTGGCCAGCGTAGCTCTCAAGTCCAGCGTTCGCAAACGGTTCCATTTCCTCTGCTGGTTCCATTCTGCTCTGTTTTACATGGGCTGGAGCCAGAGGGCTTCCTCCCAGCCCCTGGAAAAGCGTATGTCAAGCGTTGGAGCAGTTTTCTTCTTGAGCTTCTGACAGAGCAACTAAACTAAAAGAAAGTGTATTTGGAGACATCGTTATTGTAACGTCATGTATGGTCTGAAAGACCCAAATTTTCTCAAACTGCTGCCCGGCTCTAATAGAATGAAAAGAAGCCTGGCCTCAAGATAGCCCGCGCTTTAAATCTAGTCGGTTTTGAAATTATGGACGGGTCAACTTGAGTGGTTTCGCTGAGCTTCCAATTTTTTTCTCTCAAATCTGGAGGGAGATTTGAGAGAAAATCCGGATCCGACTCAGCGATCCCTCTTTGGGTTTCCGAGGCGGTATCACTACCGAAGTAGATTGCCCCATCTTCCTTCTGAGGAGTGGCTGGTGGATTTGAACCGCCAGCCTTCTGGTTAGTGGTCAAGTGCCTAAGGCATTACGGCTCAAATCTCTGGCATGCCACCTCCTGCATATAGGTCAATAAATACTTGTTGAATGTGGATCGTTGAGACCAGCACCCTTTCCTTCTGTCCTCTTCCAGTAACAGGGCTTAAGTTCTGAGTTGGAGGGTGACACTCGAGCGTCATTGCCTGTTGCTGTCACCCAAGTGTTAGCCCTGTGGCGAGCCTCGGTCTCTCCATCTTGGATGGTGAGAGAGTGCACCAAGTTCAGGGAGCTCTGCTCTGGATTTGCTCTCCAGCTTCCAGGAAACACTTGGGTGGTGAATCTTTGGGCACTAAGGTTTGGAGCACTCTGGGAGGGTTGTGATGGGTGGTAAGTGCGTAGTTTTGGGTGGGGACTGTGAGGCACACCTCTGCTCTGGGAGCCTTGGTTTATATGCCCTTGAGAGGAACTATAGCATCAGGCAGAGGATGGACTCTGGAGCCACGCTGCCCAGAGTCAGATTCCTTAGCAACCGGCATTGAGACTTGAGGTTTCTCACCTTTGTGCCTCTGTTTTCTTATCTGAGGTGGGAATCACGCTGGTTTCCACCTCACAGGATTGTTGGGAGGTTTTAAGGAAGCCATGCATGGTTAACAGTAAAAACAATGCCTGGTACCCATCATACACTAAAAACAATGCCTGGTACCCGTCATAGGTGTGGATTCCATAGTGGTGGCTTTTAACCTATGGTTTATGGTGACCTCAGCGTCCTGGCAGGCCTTGTGCCTAGCTCTAGCTGCTTGCTCTGCACACAGGATTTGCACTGATGATAGAGTATTGGAAGAACACGTATGGACTCTTTTTTTCTCACCACTATGTGTGTAGATGTATTTCACAAGTCCTAAATAGTGATCGTGTGGCATTTTACAAAGGAAGCCTTGTCTTGTATGTTAACTAAGACTTACACAGTGACTTTCGAGTATACGAAAAGCTGAGATTCCATTTATTCTATAGGTGAGGAGACTGTGTGCCTGGTTGAAAGTGTTTCTAAGTACCACATTGTGGTTGTTATGCTTGAAAAAGGGTTACCAGATTTCATCACATCTGTGAAACCAAAAACCAGACCCACTGCCATTGAGTATATTACAACTAATAGCAACCGTCTAGGACAGAGTGGAACTGGCCCATAGGGTTCCCAAGGCTGTACATCTTTATGGAAGCCAGTTGTCTCATCTTTCTCCCATGGAGCGGCTGGTTTGTGTGAACCGCCAACCAGGTACTTTAACCATTGCAACACTAGAGCTCCTTCAGATCTGTGAGGCACGCTGATTTTAAGAAGCACCATTTATTTATGTAACACAAAGAAAAGGGGCCAGTTAAGCTGTGACGTGCCATCCAACGAGGTGCAGCTCCATTTCAAAGACGTCACAGTTGAGCTAATGAGCATCACAAAACTAATGGGGTATGATGCATCAATTTGGTTAGCCACCGAATGAGTTTTAAGTATTCACAGCATTATTTCTATAACAGCAGTGGCTCGGTAGTTGAGGGTTCCATTTTTGTGTGTTGCTTTTTGAATTTTCATCGGTTGTGTCAAGCTCACCTCACATAGAGGACTTGTACTTTGAGGTTCATGCAACTACTCACCTTATTTGTATCTTTAAGGTTTTAGAAGATGGCGAAGTTCATGACACCTGTGATCCAGGATAACCCCTCGGGCTGGGGCCCCTGTGCAGTTCCCGAGCAGTTTCGGGATATGCCCTACCAGCCATTCAGCAAAGGAGACCGGCTAGGAAAGGTACTTGCCTGTCAGCAGGACTTTGCCTCTTTCAAGCTGGGGCTGTTACTGCCCAGGAGTTCCTCGTTGCGTTTTATTCTCTCAAAAGCTTAGCCCCTATGCTCCTAATAGTGATGCCAGCTGAGAAAGGTCCTGACCTCTGGAAGTAGTCAGAGGAGAGCTGGGTCCTTACAAAGACGCTATGATCCAGTTCTTCTGATACTTGATCACACTGTGTCCTCCTTTAACTTGGTCAGGGGTTTCTGGGTCAACAGAAGCATGCCTGGCTGACCTGTGCGTTCTCTCTTTCTTGCTGCTCTGAATAGGTGGCAGACTGGACGGGTGCCACGTACCAGGATAAGAGGTACACAAGTAAGTACTCTGAAACTGACTGCCCATATTGGGGCCTTGAGAGAATTGGTTGTTCCTGTTCTAGTAACTTCCATCTGAAAGGGCTCTAGGATGGGAAGGGAATGCCGATAAGAATTCCGTTTTCAGGAGCATATTCTGGACTGCACACTCCCTTTTTTGAAACAGCCCCAAAACTGAGACTTCATTGAAAAGGCTTGAGTGGAAACTTGAAGCAGGTTAGCTGTTAGATTAGGGGAGTGGGGATCCCTCCCACTGCTGGGGGAGCCATGGACCCTTATAAAAATCTGTGCGCACACATCCTCACTTTACAATCCATGGCTTGGATTTACTGAACCTCTCAAGCCCATCAGTGGACCCCAGGCTTAACAAACCCTGGTTTTAAGATCCCAGTAAGGTGGATAGGAAGTGGCCGTGTGGAACACTCGCTTCGGAATACCTGAGGCTGAGGTTGGCAGAAGGTGCATCCTGATCCATTACACGTCTGCTCTGGGCACCGCATCGTGAAAAGTGGTGGTACCTGAATGTTCATGCACATCACCTGGGGATCTGGTTAAACCGCTGGTTCTGATGCCTGAGGTCTGGGGTGGGGCCTATGAGTGCATTTCTGGCAGGCTCCCGGGCACGCTGCTGGTCTGGAGAGCATGCTGTAAGCAGCACGGCTGAAGTCTGTGGGTGGTCGTAATTACTGACAGTCACCTCTTTTTTCAGACAAGTATTCCTCACAGTTTGGTGGTGGAAGTCAGTATGCGTATTTCCACGAGGAAGATGAAACCAGCTTCCAGCTGGTGGATACAGCACGTACACAGAAGACTGCCTACCAGCGGAACCGGATGAGGTTTGCACAGGTAGGCCGGAGCCTGTGCATCTTGGGGCTGTTACTGTTGGCCATCGGCTGGTGCTAAAAATGCCGATGGACCCATTAGAGGAGAGCAAGTTGTCAGAGGTCTCTAGTGAATCCCAAGTAGCTGTTCAGTGTGTTGTCATTGGCCTGACCAATGTGTGCTACAGTAAGCTTGTACTGGGTTCAGTAATATGCTTTAATAGTTTGGGTTTTTGTTAACCAGTAGCTTGGACATCATACCCGTCCTGTGCTAAGAAAGGGTGTTTGTCCTACCAGCTGTCTGTCTCTGTTGGATAAAAGGGTGAGTCTGTGCCTGCAGCCTCACTTAATTGCTGTATGCAGGCTTTATTGAGTAGACGGTCCAGTTGGGCTACATCTTACTACATAAAGAGGCAAACTCACCAACTCTAAGAAAAAAAAAAAAAATAGTGCCATCAAGTCAATTCCAACTCGCAGCAACCCTGTAAGACAGGGGAGAACTGCCCCATAGGGATTCCAAGCTGTAAATCTTTATAGAAGCAGACTGCCTCATCTTTCTCCTGTAGAGCAGCTGGGTTTGAATTGCTGACCTTTTAGTTAGCAGCCAAATGCTTTGACCACTGTGTCCCCAGAGCTCCTTTAGCTACTCTAATAAGACCCAGTAAACTTCTTTCAGTGGAGAGTTATGTTGTGGGAATAAATCCAAGCTAATTCCAAGTACTTGTGCCACTAAAACCCCCCGACTTGATTCTGTAGAGGAGTATATAGAACGTGGGCCCTTAAGAGTTCTGCACGGCCTAGTGTAAGCCAAATCTCCTGGCGTTTAACGCAGATTTTTTTTTCCCCCCGATCCCAGCGGAACCTCCGCCGAGACAAAGATCGACGGAACATGCTGCAGTTCAACCTGCAGACCCTGCCTAAGAGTGCTAAGCAGAAAGAGAGGTAGGACTCCCATCGGCCAGGACAGGTTATTCTCAGACTGAATCGTGGAACTGGAGCAAAAGGATAGCTGCTTTCCCCACCATTGCAGAAATACATGTATTTTGTTGTTGTTGTTTTGTTTTGTTTTTGTTAACTCCTAAAGCAGGTTATGCCACCTTTATAGCCCTTGCATCCTTCTCCAAAAGTGGGTTCGTGGCAGATAGAGTGGGCAGAAGACTGCTTGCTGGTGGGCATGAGCACTGGCGGAAAGCAGCGTCACCTTAATCAGGGAAACCTTGTGGCTGTGGCTGTGGCTGTGGCTGTGGCTGTGGCTGTGGCTATGACACAACTCCTGAGGGTCCCATTCACACCATGTTCTGTAAGCCCCCTGCCCTGTCTGGGTGGGGGCTGCTAGTGGGCAGTCAGTACTCTCAGACTGAATCACACCTGGTCAATATTGGGGGGCAGTGTGCCTCTTCTGGCATCTGTGCTTGCACTGCACCCATTTGGCCTGTTCCTTCTTACTGAGACCCCATTTTCTACAGTGCAAAGACAGTGGAGTTGAGGCCAACTGAAGGAATGGCAGCTTCTGCCTTTTGAAGAAGCACCAGTTTGTCTGAGAGCACAATTTGTCTGTCTTTGCAGAGAGCGCATTCGACTACAGAAGAAATTCCAGAAGCAGTTTGGAGTGAGGCAAAAATGGGACCAGAAATCACAGGTAGGGTATCCAGACCAGAATCTGTCTAGGGATTCCATTTGTTTTGTTTCTTTGGTTTTGTACCAGCTATATTGAGAATAGCTCACGCATCATCCAGTGTACCCGTTTAAAGTGTACAATCCACGGTTTTCCATCTATTCACAGCTCTGTACAACTATTACCACTGTCAATTTTGGAACATTTTCATCACCCCGGAAAGAAACCCCATAACCTTAGCAGTTACCTTGTGTAAAAATGACGTGAGGGTGACCTCCTTGTAGCTTTACGAGGTAGGGAGGAGGACCAAGATCAGCAGCCCAAGGCTGATTCCTGAGAAGCAGAAGTCAGACACGGCTCTACCCTCCAACCTCTTGACCAATTATGACACCAGCTGTCCTCCCACAGCAGTCTGTCCTTCTCTGCTGGGTTCCATACTTCATTGCAATGACCACACAACTCGAGTGACAGTGCTCAAAATTGTGTTTATTGGGGAAGTAGTAAGTCGTGTTTCAGGATCGGAAGCGACTCAGGATACGTGTCTTCCATCAGGACAGCTCTTCTCAGCCGTGCCTGCAGGCACCTCTGGCCTCGTAGCCCCTTGGCATCTCCCCTCCTCGGCCGAGTGGCTCTGCTGCCCCATTTCTCTGCTGCTGCTTCTTGCCATCTCAGCAAAGGTTATAGCTCTTTATCTCCTGGGTCAAGGAGGTTCAGTGCAAGATTCTCAGGTCCAAAGGACACATTCCACTCCTGGCTTTTCTTTCTTGATGGCAGCAAGATTCCCCCCTTTTCTGTCTGGAATGGTTCATTTTAAGCCTAGCAGATGGCAAAACTGACCAGTCCCCATGTTAGGGGTCCATACATGTTACTTCCATGGTCCCACCCACCCAAAGCCATGCCCCTTTATTTACATAATCAGCAAGCTGTCTAGTCCCCTTGGTGGGCCACGGGCACCTCACATTTGCATAGTCCCACACAGTCATCTGATGGGAATCACAAGACCACAACTAGACGGACCACCAGCGATCCACCGTACCACACCTTGCCATCCACCACCACCCCTCAGCCCTAGATAGTCACTAGTCTATTTTTCATCACATTGGATTTGCTGTTCCAAGTATTTCATTTTTTTTTCCTCCTAATTGTGATTTGGGTGAAAGTTCACAGAGCAAATTCATTTTCCATTTAACAGTTACCCTTGCCTGTGGTTACCGTTGCCCTTGGTCCTTCTTTCCTGTCCCTTCCTGCCTTCTGAGCTTTATCCTTGGGCAGATGCTGCCCTTTTGATCTCATATGGTTGATTGTTGTAAGGAGTGGGTACCTCCCTGGTCTTTTTGTTCACCTTATAGGCCTGTCTGTTGTTTGCCTAAAAGCTGAGCCCCAGAGGTGAGTTCAGTTCCAGGCTTGAAGGCTGTCTGAGAGTGATAGTCTTAGGGGTTGTACCAGTCTCTATCAGACCAGTAAGCCCAGTCTTTTTTTTTTTTCTTTTGTTATGATTTTGAGTTTTGTCACACATTTTTCCCCTACTCTGTGCAGGACCTCCTATAAGTGCTCCCTTTCTGTGGTCAGCTGGGCACTGTCTAGGTTGGGTTATTGTGACTACTACTTACAAATGGAATCATTCAACCTGTGATTTGTGTGACGGACTTCTTTTACGAGCAAAGTGTTTTCAGGCTTCATCCGTGTTAGCACTCATGTCAGTATTTATTTCTGTTTATGGCTGAGTAATACTCCATTTGATGGCCATACCACACTTCATTTCTTCATTCATAAGCTGATGAACATTTGGGTTGTTCCCAGTTTTTGACTGTTGTGAAAATCCTGCTGTAAATGTCTATATGTAGGTCTTTCTTTACATACATTTTCATTTCTCTTGGGGGGAATTCCATTTGTTTTTGAACTCTTGATCCCTTCAGGCCTCCTCTAGGTTGCAACTCCTAAGAGTCAAGAATGCCTGCTTCTAAAACAGCCACTACATGGTAAATGTTCATTGTATGTTCCCCGTTCGTACTGTCAGTCCATCTTTTGCTTCTTTTTTCTTTGCACTGGCTGTGGTTTGGTTTGTTCATTCTATTCCACTGGCTTTGTTTCTCCTCCAATGATTTTTTTTGCTACAGAAGCCCCGAGATTCTTCAGTCGAAGTTCGCAGTGACTGGGAAGTAAAAGAAGAAATGGACTTTCCCCAGTTAATGAAGATGCGCTACTTGGAAGTGTCGGAACCACAGGACATGTGAGCAGCATCTTTCACAACCTGTCACTGTGCTGGGGGTGGGGGGGCAGATGGTGATGAGTATTACACCCTAGTATTTCCAAAAAGAATTTGAAGCCACTGAATCAAAAGACAGGAGAGCTCTGGTAGCGTAGTGCCTAAGGCATTTGACTGCTAACCAGAAGGCTGGTGGTTCAAACCCACCAGCCACTCTATGGAAGGAAGGTTGGGCAATCTACTTCTGTAGTGATACCGCCTCAGAAACCCAGGGAGGGGTTGCTAGGAGTCAGATCTGACTCTATGGCAATGGGTAAATGGGGTTAATCAAAAGATACTGAGATCAACAATTGTATTTGAAAAATTATGGTCAAGGGAGGAAAAGCAGAAAGAAGGGTACCGGTACACAGCTTCAGATTTCTTGCTATTTCCTGACATCCTTAGTGAAAGAGAATGAGGTTAAGTTGCATATCCCTTTTGGCAGAAAGAAAGAATAGTTTCTTCAGAAAGCTGATGCTTTGAGGAGGCACTGCAGTGACAGGCAGCTTAGCGTCAGCCCACCTGGGTGCCTCTGTGACTCATCATCTCCCTGTCTTGACCTCAGTCTCCCTGTCTTTAAAATGGGGCAGTTGGGCTGGAACGGTTGTGTTCTCGGTGCTCCGGGAGCCACGTCAGGAGCTGAGGGCTCCGGAAATTCAGCAAGCACTGGAATTCGCCTCCTGTTCTAGTCAGAGAAGCTGTTTTCATCTAGTTACATGTTGGACTCTGGATCAGACATCTGATTCCATGATTTAAAGGGAAAAAACGAGAAATAAGCATTGGGCTACATATTAGAACCACCTGAGGGGCTTTAGCACCTGCTGCAGGGTGCCCAGATCAGGGGTTGTCAACCAACGCCGGCATTTTTAATGCCTCCTACGTGGTTTTGCTTTGCAGCCTGGGCTGAGAACGAGGGTCTTGCCATTAAGTAGGTCTTCTTTCCCTTTACCTGGCCTGTCTCACTGCCCTCCCCTCAGTGGGCGTTGCAGAGCTCTGGAATGCCACGACAAAGCCTTTGATGAGTCTCACCTGCTCTCCCCTCAGCGAGTGTTGCGGGGCCCTGGAGTACTACGATAAAGCCTTTGACCGTATCACCACGCGGAACGAGAAGCCGCTGCGGAGCATCAAACGCATCTTCCACACTGTCACCACCACGGACGACCCTGTCATCAGAAAGGTACCCACGCCTTACCGCCCCTCCACTGTTTACAGATGCCGCCAGCTTCTGCAGTGGAGGCCGCTCAGAAAGCACAGGGACCCCAGGGACCTGTAGATGGAGTGTGGGCCTGGGAGACTCCTTTAGTAAAGGTTCTGAACCAGACTTGCCAGTGGGTGTGAACAGAGGCGTTTGCTGGCTGGGCCTCACCTCTGGTGTTCGGAGGAGCTGGATTTGGATGCCAGCTATGCTGCACGTAGCTGCTTCCCAGCTTCTGCTCTCCGCAGCCTTAGTGCATATACTCACCACACGCCATCGGGGCAAGGATTCACCATTGTGAACCACTTTCCTGGAATCTGGCGAGTGCTCCATGAGCTGCAGCTCAGAGCTGTGAACAGAAAGGCACTGCCTCACCCAGGCAGCTGCACTCAGGACCTTTGCCCCTGGGGAGGTCATGTCTGCAGAAGGGCCCCTTGTTACTAAGGGACTGTATGGCAGCAAGCACAGGGCTCCTTCCCTCTGCGTGGGCACTTAGCTGAAGAGTGTCCTCAGACCCATCTGTCTTGTCCTCCTTGCAGCTGGCAAAAACTCAGGGAAACGTGTTTGCCACTGATGCCATTCTGGCCACACTGATGAGCTGCACCCGCTCAGTGTATTCCTGGGATATCGTTGTCCAGAGGGTCGGGTCCAAGCTCTTCTTTGACAAGAGAGACAACTCTGACTTTGGTAACATGCCTGTTTGTTTGTTTGTTTGTTTGTTTTTATTGTGATTTGGGTGAAAATTTACAA